TGCAAATAAGTGTCTTTCACTGACACAATCAAAAAAACTCAGACAGAAACTGTTTTTGTCGCGTCTGGCTTAGCTCGCTCGCACTCTGAGCGAGACAGTTATTTCTGTTTTAGTTTCGCTCAAGTCAAACACTGATCGTTTGCTTGAGTTAAATGAAGCAAACTGTCAGTTGCGTTTGTATGGGTAATCACGCGCGACTGTTGCGTTATTTTTGTATGTATGTGTACATGTATTTACATGCACACGAAGGCAAAGATCATTTCTGTTGAGTTTTTTAGTCAAACTGTCGTTTGCTGAGAGTCTTTGTGTGAGCGAAAATCGTATTAGTCCTTATGCGACCCTCATTTGAGAGCGTCACACGAATGAGCCATTGCAATGCGTCTGACCGAAATAGATTCTAAAGAAAATAAAGAGTGTCGCTCAGAGCGAGATCGTGTCCGCACAATTTTTTCGGTTATGATGCGAAGCAGAGCATATACGAAAAATCGATCAACTCTCATTTGCGAGCTTATATATATATATATATATATATATATATATATATATATATATATCAGAGCTCGCAAATGAGAGTTAAGCGCTTCCACACTAGAGTACTAGTGATTGGGGACGCTGTGTTGGGTTCTTGTGAATATATAACAACTTTGTGTTCAATGTGTTGGGTTCTTGTGAATATATAACAACTTTGTGTTCAATGAAATAATATATTTTATACAATTTGGAACGATAGGTCTAAACTCTCTCTAGTCCGAATATAAACTGAACTAAATCTGTTCTACTTGTTAGGTTTTCCCCTTGAATGTCTGACTGGACTCTCTAAGTGGTCATAAGTGTCATAGCAAGTAGTTTTTGTAGATTAAGTAGGAATTAAATAGTGTCCCGGCGCGCGATCGGCAATGCAACCATGCAGCTTAAAAGCTCGCTGTGGTGAAGTTACATTGCCGACGCTGATTAAGCAGACTAGCAGTGAAATCTGCAAGCGTAAATTAATTGATTTTGAGCACTCGAAGCGAGCAGACGCGATTTTGGCAGGGCTAATTATTTCGACGCTCGGCGCGAGCGACCGCGCGCATTTTGGATTTTGTAAGCTTGTCGCGAGAGCACTTAGCGTTAAAGCTTGAGGAGTTGGTTTTGTTATAGAATAAAGTAGGTGTACTCATTGGTAGTTATTTTGCCCGCTTTATTAACCTTTTATACTAACAGTAGTCTGCAATAGTAGTACTAATTGGTAGTTTGAACGTGGCTTCAGCCCGTTCGCCGGACGAGCAAATCTCCGGCAGTAAAACTGTGTGGTCTCGGAGCGAACGCCGGCGGCAACGCAGGGCGCGACCTCGACCTGCGGTCTACCACCCGTAGTGGCATTTCTAATTCCCCACGGCGCGCCCGCGCAACCCCGACCCCAGCAATCTCGAGAGCGCTTGACTGCGCCACTCGATTGCTGCCGAAATACAAATTTAAGAATTTTTGGGCAATAAAGTCATTGAAAGTGAAGTGCACGTAATAAACTGTGACATGGAAAAAGCCAATCATGTTAGTTTTCTTTAGTTTTAAATGTTATTTGTTAGAGCAGAAAAATAATGAAGTGCCAAAATACATAATGAATGACTAGAAATGAAGTACTAATAAAAACCCTATTTCATTTTTTGGGTATCTTTACTGGTTTACTATACCGCTGCACGAAAAAAGTTGTCAGCCACTGTATATATGTACAGTGGTTCACAGCTTATTTCAACCAGCACCTCAAAAAAAAAGTCGAGTTTGCAAGCTATCGATATTTAAAGCAAAACTCGATATGCGCGTGCTATACACGGACCTAGGAAAAAAAATTCAAGTCTCTAGCTCTTATATCTTATATCTGAGATCGACGCGTTCATACATACGGACGGACGGACAAACAGACGGACAGGGCCAAATCGACTTAGCTCGTCGCCCTGATCAAGAAACATACATTTCAACAAAACCATTATACCCTGATTTCCCATTGAAAATGGGTTTAGGAAAAAATTTTAATTTTTTACTTTGAAGCGAAATATAAACTGTAAGAATATGCATATTCAATTTGTTTTAGTTGTGTAAACACTGTCTTGTCAGCTGATTTTTGTTACTTCTTTTGTTTTTTGTTATTTTCTTTTGTTAATGGAAACATATTGTTATTTTTTTTTTTTTTTTTTTGCTTACTAATATATTTTTTCAAAACTTAAAATACCATCGGTACGATATTTCAAAAATATTCAACAATCTTACAATTTTCACTATAAACCCTTAGTGATCGTAGACAACTAATTTGTGGCCAGTTCTTAGAACGAGCCAAAAGTAACGTTAATATAAAATTTGGATATTTACAGTCCAAAAATGTGAAAATTGTAGTATATTTTTCGATACGCCACGCCCCTGAAGAGGCGCAACCATTATTTTCAAAATTTTAAGCTTCAGGCCCTGTAGGAGATATAAACGTTTGCCCCCTGTCGGCGAAGATATACTCCCTATAACTTTTAGTCTTAGGTAAACAACCCGAAAATCCATAACAAATTTCAGGTTTCTAGCTTGAATTTGAAAATCCCGATACACTTAGATCCGATTTGCTACGCCCCCAGCGTGCGTGGATATATAATTATTTCATCGATATGTATAGAATCGTAACATTAATTAAAGGCCTCGAACAAAAATTTCGAGCATTAAAGACGCACCACAATCAATAAATCGGGTGTTCAAAAAGAAAAAATAAGAAGCTTAATAGTTTAAGGATTTTAGTTCACTATTTTCGTCATTTCACACCTTTAGCAACAGTTAGCAAAAACACCGCTAGAGCAGCTGAAAATTAAACCATAATTCAATTTCAACTGTGATTCTTAGAAAATACTATAATTTTTTATATAACTTGACTTGAAATTTCTACATCAACTAGGCTTGTCGCCCTGATTGGGCAGACATTTATCTAACATATAAGTTAACGTAAGCAAATCAGTTCAAAAGCAGTTCAACGCCCTGCAACACGCGCTGCGCCAAAAATGCTGACCTACGGTCTGCATTGCATCCGCTCCAAGCAGCAAAACAATTCTTAAGAATTATGGTTACGAGAGCAACACGCGCAACCGCTGGTGCATCCGCTGGCGCATCCGCTGTAGTCGATATTTAAGCCACCTAATAATGTAATAGAGTTTTAGTTTCATTTTGGTATTCGAAAAAATAAGTCGCTTTGCTGCGACAAAGTAAACGAAACAAAACGTTTTTTAACTGGCGCCCGAGCAGGGACCAGCGCGTACAATAGAATACCCAGTTTCTAAGTGCGTAATCGGTATAACAATATAGCCCAAAGTGTTCATAAGTTGATACCGTCGCTGGTTCAAATAATTCTCACAGTGAAACTCCCATAAATTCATTTGTGGCTGTGAAATTATTAACAAAATTAAGCACGACAATAAAACAATTATTAAGTGTAAAATAAAAAGCACAAAAATCAAACAATTATTACGTGTAAAATTTAAAGCAAAAAAATAAAACAATTATTAAGTGCCAAAACAAACAGCACGACAATAAAACAATTATTAAGCGTCAAACAACAAAAAATAAATAAAGCACAACAATAACTCAATTATTACGTGCCAAGCAGCAACCGTCAAGGCTACAAGACCCGCTCCTAGCCAACCACTGGATGAAGTGAAGACCTCAAAACCTGAGTAGGACATCAAGACACCCAAAAAGGAGACTTTTGACCTTCCGCAGAGGATGACCAGAGCTGCTATCTTATTGTAAGTTAAAATAAGAAATTGTAAAAAAAAACTAAATTAAAAAAAAAAAAAAAAAAAAAAAAGTAAACATTTTGTTTCAAAGAATGGATAAATTAAGTAATCAAAAACTGAATTAAAAAAGTAAATATTTTGTTTAAAAGAATAGATCAAATGAGTAATCAAAAACGGAATTAGATAAGTAAATCACAAAAAAAAAATATATAATTACAGTTAATCATGGCAAACCCAAGTAACTTAATAAGACCATCATTGTTGTCCGATGATGCGTCATCCTCCAGATCAACACCCCCCAATAACACCCAAATGAATATAGACCAACTAACACAATTAATTTCGAAAATTGTCATCGAGACTCTAGCACTAAACAATACAGCTGAATCAATCAGACCAAGCCCTTTCGACGCCCCTGACGTATCAATAAGACCTGAATATAGTAATAGAATATCCGAATTAGACAATGTTCCAGATACAGTCAAAGGTTTAAGAGAATTCAATGGAAATCCAGCTGAGTTTAGCTCCTGGAAGAAGAGTGTTGACAGAATAATGGAAATTTATACAGGACAGGAAGGCAGCCCTAGATATTTCGGCATCCTTCATACAATAAGAAACAAAATAACCGGACTAGGAGATACAGCAATAGAATCTTACAACGTACCACTCGACTGGAGTGCCATTACTAATTGCCTGACTCTACATTACGCTGATAAGAGGGATATAATAACCCTAGAATATCAGATGACTGGACTGACTCAAGGTAATCAATCTGTTGAAGAATTCCATTCAGTCGTTTATAAACATTTGTCACTTATTCTTAACAAAGTGGGTTGAGCGATTACTGACTAAAGTATATCGTGATAAGGCACTTGACACCTTCGTAAGAGGTCTCCAAGGTGATCTCCCAGACTTCTAGGAATTAAAGAACCCACCGACTTTCCACAAGCCCTTCATTTATGCCTCAAGTTAGAAAATCAAAAGTATGTCGCCTCCTAAGCCAACCAAAAAGGCCGTATGCAATCATTCCGAGCTCCTCCAATAACACAAAATAACATTCCACGTCAACCAATTCAATCTTATAGGCCAAACCCCAGTTTTCAACAAAATAAAATAACACCTTATGGATAGCAATTCAAGCAACAGCCAAGTTACACCTTCCCAATAGCACAGCCTAGTCCGTCCGGACAACAATTCTTTTAACAGCCAAACTACAGTTATCCTGTAGCACCCCCTCGTCCGTCTGGACCAAAACCTTACCCTCGTCCCGAACCCATGGACGTAGACAAGTCCATGCAAACGAAGCAGGTTAATTATATTAATCGCCCAAATTTCGATATAGGAAAACGTCCTCCATACAACACAGGACCAGAACTAAAAAAAACCACGAAATTATAATATAGAAACCGCCGAAGAAAACGAAAATCAAACTCACATAGAAGAACAAAGACAGGCAGAATTGGAACAACACGGTAACGGCCCAAATTTCGATATAGGAAAACGTCCTCCATACAACACAGGACCAAAACTAAAAAAAAAACACGAAATTATAATATAGAAACCGCCGAAGAAAACGAAAATCAAACTCACATAGAAGAACAAAGACAGGCAGAATTGGAACAATACGGTAACGAACACTATGCAGACGTAGAAAATCTAGCCGACAACTCACCACACGAGTACGAATACTCGGGTGAAGATTATCAAGTTGGACATTCAGACATACATTTTTTTAGAAAAAAGTCCGCCTCACTTCCAAACTTTGAATGCAAGCTTGGAGGAGGAAAGACCTTGAAAATTTTAATTGACACTGGCTCGAACAATAATTATATCAAACCAAATTTAGTAAGAAACCCAAAAGAAAACATCGAACCATTCGATGCAATCTCTGTAGGAGATAACATAAAAATAACACAGCACATAGAAGCAAATTTGTTTGACATCAAAGACGTAAGAATTAAATTCTTTCTACTGCCGACTCATTCGATGCCATTCTAGGAAACGATAGTCTTAAGCAGCTAAATGCAGTAATCTTTTCTAACGACAACATTATGACTTTAAAGAACAAATACAATATTCCTATCAAAGAAATACGAATACAAGCAGTTAATAATTTAAATATTAGAGCCGAACACATGTCTAAAGAACAATTCACTAGCATTACAAACTTAACAAAGAAATTCTCGAGCTTATTTTCAAAACCCAATGACAGATTATCATTTACCACCTGTGTCCAAGCAGAAATAAGAACCACCTCAGACGCTCCAATCTATACGAAATATTACCCTTATCCCATGTCTTTACAACGAGAAGTAGAAGCACAAATACAAAAACTGCTAGACGACGACATAATTCGACCCTCTCGTTCTCCATATATCTCTCCTGTAATAATAGTACCAAAAAAGTTAGACGCATCTGGCGAAAAGAAATATAGATTAGTCATTGACTATAGGAAGTTAAATTCCGTAACCATCGCCGATCGGTATCCCATACCAGAAATAAACGAGGTATTAGCACAGCTAGGAGACAACGAAATATTCTCCGTACTTGATTTGAAAAGCGGATTTCATCAGATCCTATTAAGAGAAAAGGACATAGAGAAAACTGCCTTCTCCATAAAAAATGGAAAATATGAGTTTAAACGACGCCCCTTTGGTTTGAAATCGCGCCATCCATATTTCAAAGAGCCTTAGATGACATACTAAGGCAACACATAGGAAAAATCTGCTATGTTTACATAGACGATATAGTCGTGTTCAGCAAAGATGGAAAATCCCATCTAGATCACCTCGAAACAATATTCCATACGCTCCACGAAGCTAACTCAAAAAGCGCAATAGACAAATGCGAATTTTTTAAAACTAGAGTAGAATTTTTAAGTTTTGTTATTTCAGATAAAGGCATAGAAACTAATAAAAAAAAGGTAGAAGCAATTGCCAACTATCCACCACCAAACACGCTTAAACAACTTCGGTCATTTCTCGGCCTATCCGGCTACTATCGCCGTTTCATCAAAGATTATGCAATATTAGCAAAACCTCTCACCTCGTTGTTACGTGGTGAGGACGGCAGAATATCGAAGCAAGCTTCAAATAAGATATCCATAAAATTAGATTCAGTTGCCCCAGAAAAGTTCATTAATATCAGACGACTACCGATGCATCGAATCACGCAATCGGTGCAGTTCTCTGCCAAGACGGACACCCTATTTATTTCATATCTAGAACATTGTGTAAAGCAGAAGAAAATTACGCAACAAATGAAAAAGAAATGTTAGCTATCGTTTGGGCACTAAAGTCCATCAAGAATTACGTTTACGGAAATTCAAAGGTCAAAATATTCACAGACCACCAACCTCTTACACATTCCCTTAGTAGTTGGCATAGGAACGCCAAAATTAAAAGGTGGAAGGCAATCTTAGAAGAATACGACTACCAGCTAGTTTACAAGCCAGGTAAAGAAAATATAGTCGCCGATGCATTGTCCAGAACCCCTAACCAATTAAATAACCAAATAAATTCAATGACAGCCACCATTCATAGTGCAGATAGTTCAAGCCATCATTTGATACCAAGCCTTGAAGCCCCTATCAATGTTTATAAGAATCAAATCATAATTGCAAAGGAAAACAGAGAAACTTACGAATTTAGCATTCCGTTCCCCACCATCCATAGACACTACATCGCGAAAGAACAATTTTCAGAAACCGACCTTATCAGCTTACTAAAAAAGTACTTAAACCCATCTGTCATGAATGGAATTCTCACAACTGAAGATATCATGGCCAAGCTACAGAATATCTACCCGTCTCACTTCAATACTTTCAAGATACGATTTTCGCAGAACAGAATTATAGATTTAGAAAAAGACTCGGATCAAGAGGAAGAAATATTAAAAACACACAACAGAGCACATAGAAACGCATACGAAAACCAAAAACAGATACTACTTCCCAAGAATGAAAACCAAAATTACAAACATAGTAAAGCAATGTAGGGTTTGCAAAGAAGAAAAATACGATAGACGACCAACAAACCCAAGTCTGAAGGAAACACCGATACCCGAGTATCCAGGCCACATCATTCACATAGACATTTATTCTACCGAAAAGCACCTCGTGCTCACTGCAATAGACAAATTCTCAAAGCTTGCGCAAGGTAGAATTATAAAATCTAAAGCTATAGAAGATATCAGACAACCATTACATGAAATACTTTTCTACTATGGAGTACCAAAATTTGTAGTAGTAGATAACGAAAAATCACTTAATTCGGCTTCCATCTCTTTCATGATGAAAGATCAGCCCAACATTGAAATTTTCAAAGTACCACCATATAAGAGTTCAGTAAACGGACAGATAGAACGACTACACTCCACTTTATCAGAAATAATGAGATGTCTTAAAAGAGAAGGCAAAGATAGAAAAATAGAAACAATTCCATAAATTCAGTCACTAAACAACGCCCACTAGATATTTTCTTTGGCAGAAAGATTACCACAGACCCCGAACAATTCGAACAAGCACGCAAAAATAACATAACAAAACTAAAAGAACAGCAGACCAAAGACCTAAAATATCACAACCAATCTAGAAACCCTATACTAACCTACAAAACTGGACAGATAATTTACGTAAAAATCAACACACGACTAGGATCTAAACTTTCCTCCAGATACAAAAAAGAAATAGTTAAAGAAGACAACGGCACAACCATAAAAACAGAGTCAGGAAAAATAGTACATAAAAGCAATATTAAAAATGACTTTTCTCTACAGGATACTGGGAGTAATCCCAATACAGGCACGAGTGGAAATGACTAATTATACAAATAGTCCCATACTCACCCTTCATGACGGATTAGGTAAAATAACTAACTCCTCGACCAGGATAATTCATTTGATAGACGTATTACAACTAAAAAAGGCTTTGGACAAACTTGCAAATCACATAGACACAGAATTAAAGTCGTCCGATTTACATCATACTCTACATTTCGAAGTAGAACCGTCAAAATCAATATTTCACTCTTTATTATACGCAAATAAGACCAGACACACAAGATCCATAAATGCTTTAGGCACAGCCTGGAAATTTGTGGCTGGCTCTCCTGACCACGATGACTTAGTCGCTATAGAAGATAACCTAAATAAACTCATTCAGAATACTAACCAACAAACCATCATAAACACACAATTTCAACAACGATTAAATAATCTTACTCAAATTAACAATATTTTAACCAACGCCATCCAAAAACATTCGTACCCTACTAACAATTTAGATACTAACATACAAATACAAATCCGTCTGATTAAAGAGAAAATAACAAACATAAAATACGCCATACAATGGGTTAAACTAAACATAGTAAACAGCATCCTCTTAAATGATAAAGATTTAGACCTAATACAAATAAATAAAGCTGAAATAGATCTAACAATAGAAGAGATGCTAGAGTTAGCAGACGTATCCGTCTTACATAATAATACCATAATATTATATGTTGTCAAAATTCCTAATCTAGAAAATATAAATTATGAGAATATAATTATTAGACCTATAATTAAAGACAATACAATAGTAAACTTACAATTCAAAGAAATTTTCAAATATAAAAACACAATGTTAGGATTAAGAAACAGCTGTAAAACTTATAGCAACATAAAAATTTGTAATCAAAAAGATTTAATAGATTTAAGAGAAAACAATTGTATACCCAAATTAATGTTAGGAAAAGATGCAAAGTGCGACTACAGCAACGCAGATCACATCGAAAGCTTAGAGGAAATCCAAGAAGACATCATACTACTTAACAACTTCCAAGGCAGAATAAAGTGGGAGGACACTGATAAAATTGTCCAAGGCACTTTACTTATAAAATACCACAACTGCTCTATCACGATCGATGACCGAATATTCTCCAATACAGAAGAAACACATATCAACCCCAAAACCCCGATCATACAAATATCGGTATCCGAGGCCAAACGCTTGCGGATCCTCAGTCTAAAAACATTAGATAATCTTCAAATAAATAACACCAAGCTACCAACAGCATTGGTTTATTAGCATTGCTTGTAGGTTTTGCCATAACATAGTGTTAGTCTCAAAAAGGCGAGCTAACAAAGAAGAAGTAATCCTACAAATCGCTTCCGAAATTCCAAACACCGTCAATCACCCAATCACCAACACCGAACATGTTCCAAATCTTCAAATCACCAACATCCCGTTTTTCTGACACTTGAGGACAACTGTCAAATTGAGGATGGAAGAGTTAACGTAAGCAAAGTCAAAAGCAGTTCAACGCCCTGCAACACGCGCTGCGCCAAAAATGCTGACCTACGGTCTGCATTGCATCCGCTCCATGCAGCAAAACAATTCTTAAGAATTATGGTTACGAGAGCAACACGCGCAACCGCTGGTGCAACCGCTGGCGCATCCGCTGTAGTCGATATTTAAGCCACCTAATAATGTAATAGAGTTTTAGTTTCAAAGTAAACGAAACAAAACGTTTTTTAACTTATACATATATGTTCACATATGTTAATGTCAATGGGCTCAGGATATAATAATACAATGTGGTTCGGGCAGACGGACTAGGCTAAATGGACTCATCTCGTCAAAACCTTTATACCCTGATTTCCCACATTTAATAGTTTCAGGGTATAATTATATCTCTTACATCTTTAGAGCTTTAATTGATTACGACGGTTCATCTATTTGTGTGTATGTGTATGTGGGATCATGCTGTTTATTGTGTATGATGAAGGCTGTCATCAGAGTTTGTGCCTATGTTCCAAAACCATCGAAAATGAAAAAGGTTAGATGGTAGGGACAGGTATTTTGCCGTTGGACGCCTCAAATTTTGACGCTCTTTTGGCACGGATAATCGCGAATTTTTATTTAGACTCAACTTTTATGCCGATATAACACATACTAATATTAAACCCTCTTTAAAAATTTTTAAAAGGATGTTGTAAATATTATATAAAAAGATACTATTAATAACATACATCATCCGATTCGCTCAGGTCAATATTTCCATTGTCGTCATCATCTAGTTGACGATGCAAACTGGCGATAGCCTCCATCCCAAGCCGATCTTGTACGTTTTCGTTTTCACAGTCAAAATCCTCTGCATTACATGTAGCATCTGCAGACATGCTGCTTGAAGAACCTATGGAAACAATAAAAAAGTAAATGTTTACATTTGTATATGTTACATAGTACAGCTTAATTTTCATTCATACACACACAAATACACAGGCATAAGCGCACTCTCTTCTAACTGCGAAGTTGCCGCTACCACTATGCTTCGAAAAATTTATTGATAATTAGCATTTCTTATAAAAGGACTCATCTCATCAAAATATCTCATAAGAATGGCATTTATATGAGTGCATTTTCTAAATCAATTGACTATAATGTATGTAATAACAACAGGTTCTTTGTTGACAGTAAATATTGACTGGACGACATTAACAAAGAAATGCAGCTAATGGAAGCAGAAAATGCAATCCGACTACATACAAAAATGTATATATGAACGGAAAGCAATGTAATACTATCCTCAATGCATTACTATTCGAAAGCAAGATTTGTTACCAAGATTTTGATATGATATGTGGTGCAGTTCTGCTTTAAATACAAGTAAGACTTGTATCAAAATTTTTACATCGAAGGTTATTTTGCAATTTCGTATGCGTCTTTTGATTATTTCACAGCTATATTAGACAAAACAAAAATTTTTAGTTGAGACTGCTCGACTACGGAATCCCCTGAACACCGGGACATTACCTCCAAAAGCTGGAATTGTCTCGGAAATTGAGGACGGATGGCAGCCCTAATCTTTATAAAACTAATAAAATAAATTAACTTATTAACTTTTAAATAAAATAAATAAATAATGATATAAATTATAATAAAAATCTAGCATTTATACAAAACATATGAATTAACATTAAAAATTTGTCGACTCTGATTTAAAGATGTAGTTGAAATGATTTTATAACAGACTTTCGATAAGGTTTTTAATCTTCAACAAGTAAGAAGGCTCCAGTCGAGACTGCTCGACCAGGAGATACCCTGAACCCTCAAAGCTGATATTCTAATCGTTCTGGACTTCCTTTACGCACACATACATACACATGCACTTTTAAGCACGCGCTCTGCTAACTGTGCAGTAGGCAGCGGCTGCGCTTGGGCTGCGCTGCAATGTGGGCAATATTATGAGAATTTATTTGTTGAATAATTTCTTTTGTAGACATACAGTCTTAATAAAACTTTCAGAGCATAATCATAAGGCTAAAATGTGTGTACATTCCAAAGCACAAGTCTCCAGTACTTGAAATACTTTATATACAACGCAAATTTGAAGTCTCCAGGTCTAAAAGTGTTCAAACTAGGCTGAAAAAACCAGGTCGATTTTTCGATTATTCTCGATAAAAAAGTTATCGGATGAGTTATCAAAAAAATAAAGCAAACTTGTACTGCCTATGGTATACACGAGTATGCATGCCAAATTTCAGCTCTCTAGCTCTTATATCTTCTGAGATCCTTTTGCTCATACGGACGGACGGTCTCTCAAATATGTATATGTATGTATGCATGTCATTACAAGCAGGAGCTCACGAAAATTGAAATTTATATATTTGAAATTTGATAAATCGTTTGGCATGCTCATGCAAATCGTACGCATAATGAAAATGTTTTCGTGTCGAGCATGCACACACACACTGTCCCTTGCTACATGTGCTATGAGCATTTGAATGCCTGTGTGCGAAGCTCTGGTTGCCTGTAGCAATTTTAATGCACAGCACTTGCATTGGTCAATCTTGTGAAGTGTTCAAATATGTATGCTCACAATTATGGGATATCACTTGTAGAGGCATATTTATTATTTTGGGCTCGAATTGCAGAATCGCGCTTTTATTTAAGTACCTTATTTTGTATCAATGAACGTGTGCTTGCATATCAAAGTCACCAATTCATAAAAACAATTGTCTTAAATAGGAATCTGTTCAATATTATTTCATAAATTTTATAATTCGAAAAATAGAAAACTAAATGCAAAAAAAAAAAAAAAAAAAAAAACAAATCATAAGAAGCAAAGATAATAATAATAATAAACACTGAAGTGATAATAAAAGCTCGTTTAGCACACCCTTTTGCAATGTTCACGTATTATAAACATACACACTTACAGCAAGAATAGTTTCCCACACTAACACATAATGGCAAATACATGTAAAACGGAACTGCAACGGATGATTGACGAACATATTGAGAAAGAATTTAGTTTCGCGACGCACGCACACTAAAGCCCATACTGTGTATTATGTGTACAACTGCCTGTGGAAATTGTAAAGCCCAAAATTTACCGTCAATCGACCTTGTGAAGTGAGCACATACATACATTTGCATATGTGTGTATATGTATGAGATGAGATGATAATTGCCTCTCGATTTCATAGTTTGTTAATTTTGTATGGTTTGAATTGTTGAGTGACTGTCAAATGGGCCTTTATGACTTAATCAATAATTAGCTATACTAATATATGAATATACTTATATACATATGTATGTTCATACATTGTACAAATGTGTGAGGTGGTTATGACAGTCCGTAAGACCAACCAAATGCAAATGCTGGGTTGCTTTAAAATTGCTACAGGCAGCAAGGGTTTCGCACACTGTCATACAAATGCTCATGTACTAAGTGTGCAAGTGTGTGTGCGCATCAACACTTTCATACCCTTCCCAAACTGCAAACAAAAAATTTGCAATAACTGTTTGCAGCTACTTTTTTTTGCTTGTCGTCTGAACACAGAATTTTGCCGTTAGCTTGGTTACGTCAGTTGTTTGCATGTGCTGTTTGCTTTCAGCCGCAATATTGCAGCAGGCAAAGCAAAATGTGGGATCGCGAGAAAACGATTGAATTAATTGAATTGTACGAGAATTTTTGAGTTTTATGGGATGTTTCGTCAGCAGACTTTAAAAGTAATTATAAAAAGCAAAAGGCTTTTCGCGAAATTGCTAACAAAATTTACGTTTTCTAATAAAAAATTGAAATCACTGACTAACATGCGAAAATTGTAATAGTTTTTTTCATCACCATATTGTAGCTCTTTTAAAAGGTTCTGATGCACTCCTTTTTCATCTCTTTTAGAAATCCACTTTTTCACCCAAAACTTTTTTTTTTGGCAGACTTCTCATTTTTTTTTTTTTTTTTTTTTTTTATCAAAATTGCTAATATAGCAACAGCAGCAACTCTCGATTGTTGTGCCGACATAATATAAACACGTCGTTATTCTTTGAATTTTTCAATTCAAGTGAACTTGCGAATGAGTGTCACTTGCAAGCAGTGCAAACAAAAACAAAAAATGAAAACACGTGTAGACATTAATGCAATATATTGCACAAAATAGCCATGCAAAAGTTTGCGTGCAAAACAAAAATTGATTGCAGCAAGTAATTTGCATGCAATATGTGCATTGGTGTGAACATTTGTGCAAACCTTTGCTGCAAATTATTTTCAACTTTCTGCAAATTGTTTGCATCGTGTGTACCTAGCTTTACAGTTTGTTTGCATTTGCGTGGCAAACGCTTTTAAGATTTCTGTATACTCTTCACTCAAAAGGAAAGAGCTGGGATCGTCGCCAACAAATATCAGTTTTTGTGAGCTGCTGAGCTTGATAAATTGAGAGCCCATAGAGAGAGAGAGAGAAGAGAGAGATTGAGTGTGAGAAAGAGTAGGACAAAAACCGCGGAGCGCATACAACAGGACCATTTCGTTTGCGTGCTTGTAGCGCACTGATTTCGTCGTGCTATCTTTCATTACCCGAGCCACCAAATACCGAGCCGAGCGAACACGAAGTTGATTGGTACCTACTAGACAGATTTTTCGGTGTTGAAAAAGTTTCTTCTAAATGTCGTGTCTATGTGTTGTCTGGTTAGTGGCTCTATTACAGTGATGGATAGACAACTATAACAATAAAAAAAAATCTCCACACTTTACTAATTGTTGGTGCCATAATTACGCTTCGCTTTCCAACTTTTGCGCGCCAATGTTGCTTATAGCGATGCGATTTTTTGAGCAAATCATCGATTGTCTCGATTATTCAAAACCCATTTTAAATCGTGAATTGAAACAAAATAATCAATTAATGTGTATCAAATGATTAATCGTGCCATCATTAGCTCTATATACGGACATTTAAAAACAAGTAAGAACGTTGCAGTCGGGCGATACCGATTGCAGAATACTCATTCACAGCCCAACCAGAGTATATAGTGCAATTTTCAAGTCTAGTGTGCAACAAAAAACAGGGCATGATCCCATTAAAATTGGAAAATCATCGATAGCTATTGCCTTTTTATACCCTGAACCCATTTTCAATGGGAAATCAGGGTATAATGGTTTTGTTGAAATGTATGTAACAGGGAGAAGGAGGCGTGGCAGACCCCACAAAGTATATATATTCTTGATCAGGGTGACGAGCTGAGTTGATTTGGCCCTGTCCGTCTGTCTGTCCGTCTGTCTGTCCGTCTGTCCGTATGTATGAACGCGTCGATTTCCGAAGATATAAGAGCTAGAGACTTCAAATTTTTTTTAAAATGTCCGTAATTACAGCGCGCATATCAAGTTTATCATTAAAAATCGATAACTCATCTCATACTTTTTTTATCGATAAAAAACCTTATCGAAACCCAGTTATAAAATTATATCTTCTACACCTTTATTGCTAGAGTCTCCAAATTTTTAATGTATGCTTATATGCAATTTATACAATTTCGGTTTTTGTTAAAATTTACCCCCCACCTCTAAATTCACCCCCTCACCCTCACTTTTGTAAAAAGCGTATTTCAAATACTAGAGACTTGTGCTTTGGCAATTACATGCATATTCATGTTATAATCATAATCTAAAAGTTTCATGAAGATCGTACGTCCATAAAAAAAGTTATTAAACAATTAAGTTCTCATAGTAAGCGCACACTGCAGCCCATGCGTGTTTATGCGTGGTTGCTTGTATGTGTATGTGTATGTGTGTGTGTGTATGCGTTTGTGTCTGTATGCGTGTGTGTGTGTATGTATACCTGTGTGTGCGTACGTGCGTGTGTGTGTGTGTGCGTGTTTCTTGTGTAAGCTGAAAGTCGCGAAAAAGTATTGAAATAT